CTCTCCTGGGCCTGTAACCAGCACTGGTCTAAGTGCCCACTGTATGCTAGGCCTGGGTCTGGGCCACAGGTTCAAAGACAGTGAAGACCTCTCCCAAGCCCCAGCGTCGGGAAGGAGGCACGTGGAAAGTCGTGCGAGGTGATGTGCGGAGTCTAATAGCGGAGGTGCTGTCTGGGGAAGAGAGGAAGCTGGGTATTGATCAGAGAAAGCTCTGTGGGACAAGATGTCTACCCCAGATGTTGATAGGTGACCGGGAAGCCCCAGGGTGGTCTTAAAGGTGTCGGGATGGGTATATGCAAAGGCCCGGATGAGGACCCTGCTGCAGGCCACGGTTTGAGAGGGGACACACAGCAAGAATGGGGGCTGAATCATGAAGCTTGGGCTCTGTGTTAGGTAGCTCGGCCACCATAACAAAACACCACGACCGGGGGCTTCAGCAACAGAAGTGTGTTGTCTCTCAGTTCTGGACGTCAGAGATCAAGGTACTGGCTGAGGCAGCGGATAAGGTCCCTGTTCATGGCTTGCGGATGGCCACCTTCTTCCTGTGTCCTCACACTGCAGGGAATGGGAGCGAGCAAGCTCTCTAGAGTCTCTCTTAATGGGACCCTAACCCTTCTTGAGGGCCCCACCCTCAGAACCTCATCCAACCCTAGCTTCCTCCCAAAGGCCCCACCTCCAGTCACCAGCACATTGGGGTTTAGGGTGTCAACATAGGAACTGGGGGGAGACACAAAAATTCAGTCTTGATAAAAACCTAATTTTTCTTAAAGCTTTTGTTTACAAATCTTATCAACCTATTTATAAATTCCAATTTTAATGAACATTCCTAAACTTAAAAAGTAAATTTTATTGGACATGTGTTTCTTAGTGAAACGTATTGGAACTATTTTTTTTTTCAGTTAGTTCCTATATCCATGGATGCATATTACTTAAGGCTAGAAGGGGTTCAATGAAAATTAATAGCAAAAAAAAAGTCTAGAACAATTATCGAGGATGGATTCAGGTTTTGTGGGGCCTGAAGCTCATAGAATTTGGAGGGCTATTTTTTTTGTTTTTTTTTTTTAAGATTTTATTTATTTAATTGACAGAGACAGCAAGAGAGGGAACACAAGCAGGGGGAGTGGGAGAGGGAGAAGCAGGCTTCCCACTGAGCAGGGAGCCCAATGTGGGGCTCCATCCCAGGACCCTGGGACCATGACCTGAGCTGAAGGCAGATGCTTAATGACTGAGCCACCCAGGCACCCCAGGAGGGCTCTTTTTAATAAATATAATACAGACTTACGAATTCAAAGTCAAGTGTGACAGTGAATATTATATAGGATGAGGAAAAATAGCTTACGAATTTTAAAAGCTGGTAGATACTATAAACCTCACAAAATCCAGAAAACATTTTAATTAACCACTTGACATACCTCTATATGTGTCAGGCAGCTAATAAAAAAATAACTTTGGGGAGTGCCTGGGTGGCTCAGTCATTTAATCTTCTGACTCTTGATCTTAGCTCAGGTCATGATCTCAGGGTCGTGAGCTCGAGCCCCGTGTTGGGCTCAGTGCTGCCGAGTGTGGATCCTGCTTAAGATTTTCCCTCTCCCTCTGCTCCTCCCCTACACACACACGTGCGTGCACACTCCCTTTCTCAAAACAAAAAATAACTTTGGGCTGTATACTTTTTTTTTAAGATTTTTTATTTGAGAGAGAGAGAGAGAGCACACACCCAAGATGCGGGGAGGGGCAGAGGGAGGAGAGAATCTCCAGCAGACTCCCTGCTGAGCACGGAGCCTGATGCGGGGCTCGATCTCATGACCTGAGCTGAAACCAAGAGTCGGACGCTTCACCCCCTGAGGCACCCAGGTGTCCCTGGGCTGCATACTTTTGACTGCTTCTTCACGTGAGAATTTCATAGCACTGTTTTGCTAGATGTAGAGATAATGCCATCTTTCCTCCGGTGTTGTTGATCGAAATGTGGTTTTGGTAGTTCAGATTCATAAACGCGGCTACACACACACGTCTTGCTGTTTGTGCTGCTGCTTTAAACACCGGGTTCTGATAAACTTTATCTCACGTGATCCCGTCAAAAAAGGAGAAGTGAGGCCCATGTTTCAACTGCATCTGCTCAACAGAGAATTCCGTGTGTCTAGGTACTGGTGGGAACTGAATCCTCTGATACGAGTTTTCATGAGTAAAAGGCTTTCACGGGGCGCCTGGGTGGCTCAGTCGTTAAGCATCTGCCTTCGGCTCAGGTCATGATCCCGGGGTCCTGGGATCGAGCCCCGCATCGGGCTCCCTGCTCGGCGGGAAGCCTGCTTCTCCCTCTCCCGCTCCCCCCGCTTGCGTTCCCTCTCTCGCTGTGTCTCGCTGTCTCAAATAAATAAATAAAATCTTTAAAAAAAAAAAGGGGGGGGGGCGCCTGGGTGGCTCAGTCGTTAAGCGCCTGCCTTCGGCTCAGGTCATGATCCCAGGGTCCTGGGATCGAGCCCCACATCGGGCTCCCTGCTCAGTGGGGAAGCCTGCTTCTCCCTCTCCTGCTCCCCTGCTGTTCTCTCTCTGTGTCAAATAAATAAGTAAAATCTTTAAAAAAAAAAAATTTTTTTTAAGGATTGTCTACTGAGTAGCTTCTGTTCCATGTGCTTCTAAACCTGCACACACATTCCGCCCCCCGCTCAGTACTCCTGGTGCCAAGGTCTCAGGACACTGCCCCATCACACCTGTGGTCACACCACACGTTCATAGCCATGCTGTGCATTCCTGGTCACGTGACCTGGTCATAGCCGTGTTGGCGATCACATACGTGTTCACACCATGCTATCCCCTCTGGTCATCACCTTCACATTGGAGCGCCTGGCGAGTCCACTCAGTGGGAACCAGGGGTATGGAAACCATTCCCACACCAGACGGCTATCAGCAGCTTAGCTACCCAGGGGAGTCAGTGTGCACCCATAAATACACCCCACTAAGCCCAGAGTAAGTGTACGCCCCCGGGCAGGCAGGTCCCAACACGCCCCAGGCACTCCAACACCAGGCAGGGCAAATGGGACTGACCACGCTGGAGTGGAGAGAGGAGGTGGTCTGCAGTGACTGGGATCCACATTTGCAAATGTGACACTGGGTGACCGTGGGAAGCTTTGGCCTGAAGCTTGTCTCCGTGGCCCCACGGGAGTGCCCCCACTGGGCAGGAATAAGTGTCCCACTTGCTCACACTCAGGGCTTAGGGATGGCCAAGGGCATCTTCACACTAAAAGCCATAGCACTCCCCTGTGACGTTGATCTACATCTAACCTGGACACGTAGGAAGGAATGAGCGATAGCAGGCAAGATTGCCCCACATCAAAAGTGAATATGGAGGGCACCTGGGTAGCTCAGTCGGTTGAGCGTCTGTCTGCCTTCGGTTCAGGTCATGATCCCAGGGTCCTGGGATCGAGTCCCGCATTGGGCTCCCTGCTCTGCGGGGAGCCTGCTTCTCCCTCTCCCACTCCCCCTGCCTGTGTTCCCTCTCTCGCTGTGTCGCTCTCTGTCAAATAAATAAAAAATCTTAAAAAAAAAAAGTGAATATGGATTTTCGGCATTCAATTCTCAGTTGGCAAAAATGAATGCCTATGTTTCCCCCACAAGTCTGGAGAACCCACAAAACATTCCATGGGCCCCGGTTCTGTGCCTTTTACTTGAGGATGTTACCGTGATCTGTCAGAAGTCAGTGTGGACTTTTTCCCGTCTCCCTGAAATCACAGACCACATGCAGCCCAGACTCGGTCAGTGAGCACACGTGCTTCCTCGTGGCGAAATGACAGAAGATGCCCCTCGGCTGGCGTTCCCCGCATGCTTTCTGCAGATACTGGATGCTACTCGAGCTCTGTGGACACGGACAGTGCCGTGAGGGTTCTTCTGTGTCTGCTCGGCTGTCTGGGCACTCCCCACGCTCTCCCTAACAGGAGATGCAAGAGCCACTCTGACCGCCGATCTCACGCCCGCAGCCCCGGATGCACAGCACCCTGCCACAGGCTGAAACATCCAGGGGTCACAGCACGCTTTATTCTCAACAGAAATACATATGTGAGGCCAGGAGGACAGCTCTACGTGGGGTCAGGGTGCCCTAATTCCAGGGGCTTCCTCCAACATTGGGAGCTGCTGCTTTACGTGGTACCCCAGAAACATGTACATCTCGGGGCATATGCAGCCAGGTCGGCTGCTAGATGGGTGAAAAGTCAGCCTGCCTCCCATAGTGAGAGGAGGCTGCTGGAGGGGGGACACGGGTGGGCCCTCCAGGGCCTCAACTGTGCCGGCAGAGCGCAGCGGAAGAGGAGGGGCGCAGACTCATTCCCTCCAAACTCCCTGGGCCGTGCATCCTGCAGCATAGTACAGATACCTCTCGTTTATCCAGGGTTGGGCGCTTGCAAATCCAGTACTAACCTAAGTCACAGTGGGAATCAAACAGGAATGTTGCCAACGAACCGCCTTCCTTAGCCACTGTGGGTGGAGGTGAAGACCGTACGATAGGCGTCCCAGAAGGCAGGCTGTTGGGCTCCGTGAAGAAGCAGCTTTTCTTACCCAAAGAGGATGAAATGTCTCTCCTGTCACCCTCACCTGCTGGATCCCCAGCCCAGCAGGGATGCAGCGGGTGGGACAAATCGGGGGACAGAACATAGCCAGGGGCAGGCGTGCCAGTCTAATGTCTCAAACAGGCACCCAGCAGCTTGCAAACGCACGAAAGGGGCAAAGGTGGGAAGAGAGGAGGGAGGTTTCTCAGCATTGTCATCGGCAGTCGAGGCCTGACCACCACCTGGACCCCCTTGGCAGGAGCACCAAGTGGCTGAGGACTCCAGCCCTGCCCCGGGGGCAGGACCAATCCTTCCACATTGGCACCCACTAGCCTTTCTTTCTTTTTTTCTTTCTTTCTTTCTTTCTTTCTTTCTTTCTTTTTCTTTTCTTTTCTTTTCTTTTCTTTTCTTTTCTTTTCTTTTCTTTTCTTTTCTTTTCTTTTCTTTTCTTTTCTTTTCTTTTCTTTTCTTTTCTTCTTTCTTTCCCTGGTTTTGAAAGCTCATAAAATCCAAGCTAATCAGAGCCCAGGTTACAAGTATCTCTTGATGTTTTTAGTTCATTGGAAGCCTTGCCAAAGTTTTTATTTTTAAGTGTGGGGCTTAAAATATCCCCTCCTCAGCTCCGAGCCAGCCAGGGGAAGCCAAAATAAAACACCATCTTCTTTGGAACATATGGCAAGTCACTGCTGCCGGAATCAGGGAGAAATCAGAAGAGAAAGGATGTTCTGGTACAAAATAAGAATGTAGGTTTAATGCATGGAAATATGCAAAGCTTCGTGCCACCAAGGGCTGTTTTCTGAGCGCGAAAATGTTAACTACAGAGTTTACGAGAAGAAGAAAGGGGGCAAAGGCATTCTTGAAAACTGACCCAGACCCCGTCCGAGACCCGCGCACAGGAAAGGCCCGAGCGAGGCTCCGGCAGCTGTGGGATGCAGCTGAACCATTCCACGCTGTCCTCAGCGAGATGCTTCTGCGGGAGGAGCCCCTGCCTTGGCCTGCATGGTTCTTAAAGCAGTTCCCTTTCTTTCTTCTGCCTTTCGGGTCCCCCGCTTCGTCCCTTCGCTAAAGCATCCCACTGCTATCACCAGGCACACACGGTTGCAAACTAAGGTCATCTGCACTCAGGGGGCGCAGCTCACGGAGCTCATGGTGCTTGAACTGTTTTTAAGGCTTAGTTTTCAGCAGCTTTTGACGTTCTCTGTATTTTTTTCCCTCAGTCTTTTGGTTATTTAACCTAAAACCATTATTATCTTTCCGTGCTCTTAGCATTCTGGGGGTTTCCATTTCTCCCTTGTCTTTTCAGCAAATGCTGTATTTATTATTGTTGTTCTTAAAGAGCTGACAACGCAGAGTAGGACATTTTATGTAGTGTTACTGGAGGGCAACGTTTTAGATATTCAAATTTATTATTGGAGTTCGAGTGTCACTAGAAAAAAATGCATACGCCAAAGGAGACTGTTGGTAGTGTGATCCTAGAGGCATCCGGTTAATATATAATGTATAAGTCTGCGTAATGGATACTTTTTATTATTCATAAAATTTTCAAATGACTCGCAGATGTGCACCCTGCAGCTGTTCCCCCCTCACTAATGGCCTAAGGCTCTGACTCAGAGAGGAGTTTCGTGCCAAAGGATTCTGGCAGCGACTACAGTCCTTGTGATATTCCCAGGGAGGAAATCATCTATTGTCAGCAGGGGTGATGATGACAGACCAATAAAAGGCTGAGTGGGGAGGAGCCAGTGGAGACAGAAGACCGGACTGGGCATGTTCAGAAGGCTGTTTTCGAGCTGCTTTTGAAAAAAAAATGTATTGTCTTCAAAATTCTTTCCAGTGATTTACCTGAGTCTGCTTCTATCTACAAAGTCTGCTCTTCCCCCCAGGACAGAGGCCCAAGGGCACCTGGCCCCTGCCTCCTCTCCTCAGGGGCCTCTGCTGGCCTGTCCTCTCACCTGGACCTGATCTGACCAGAACCCCTGGGGCGTCTCCGTGACAACCCTCAGTGCTGGGCAGGTGGCCCCTGCTCCCGAAGGGCCCCCACCACCTCTCACTAGCATGGGCTGCTTTCTGCTGCCCCTCCCCATTCCCGGGAGCTGGCCGGGGCCAGGGGCATACAGAGCGCCCTCGGCTTCAGGCATCTGAAAACACTTTATTGGGGCGCTGGCTCTGGGCTGCGGCCAAGGGATGCTGCGGTGTTAGTTCTTTTTTTTTTTTTTTTAAAGATTTATTTATTTATTTGAGAGAGAGAGAATGAGAGAGAGCACATGAGAGGGGGGAGGGTCAGAGGGAGAAGCAGACTCCCTGCCGAGCAGGGAGCCCGATGCGGAACTCGATCCAGGGACTCCAGGATGATGACCTGAGCCGAAGGCAGTCGCTTAACCGACTGAGCCACCCAGGCGCCCATCTGCGGTGTTAGTTCTTAACACAAGGTGATCAGGAGCTGGGAGCCCATCCAGAGAGGGCAAGAGGGGGTTGCAGTTTCCAGAAGCCAAGGGGGCAGATGAATGCCGGAAGCGTGGCAGTGGGGCAAGGGACACAGCACCCATGGGGACCTGGGCTAGAGCGCCACCTTACTTTCCTCCTACCCTCTGAAATCTGGCAGAGCCTCCCATTGGCCAGCCCACCTGGAAGCCGGAAGGAGGGAGCCCAGGGAGCAGCCCGCGCTCAGGCCCAGAGCAGGAGGGAGGAGGGTGAACAGACCTGCAGGCGCCGGCACCTCTGTCTTCCTTGGGGACCCAGGGCCAGCCTTCCTCCTTAAAATTGTTGGAGTGCCTTGAAGAGTCTGGAAGGGACACCTCTTCCAAGGGATAGTGGGCACCTCCAGGGACACTGAGAGTATTTTCATTTTTATATTTTTATTTATTTGCTTCTATACTTGAGCTTCTAACAATGTGTGTGTTGTTCGATAATAAAATCTAATACACCTGTTTGGAAACATAAAGCAGTAGCACAGGGAAACACACGATAGCAGCGGAGCCATCCCCAGTCCGTCCTCCAGCTCTGACCAGGCCCCTGGGGTGCTGTGCTGAGACCCGGGGCTGGATGCAGGCCTGACCGCTGACCAGCCCACAGTGCTCACTACGCTGGCTCGGGGTGCTCCTGCTGGGACAGGCAGTGTGATTCCGACAGCCGGCTCCCGGGCTTAGTGCAGACTCCACAGCCCCTGCACCCCAAACTGCCCTCACTCCACACGCCAACTGCACTTTGGGGGTTCCAGGCCTCTCGTGCTTCTGACCAACTGGCTACAAATTCGAGAATTCCTCCCACCCCCTCCAGTTCAACCATTTGCCAGAACGCCTCACAGAACTTAGGAAAGCATTATAATGGTGGTTATAGCTTTACCGTAAAGGATACCATAAAGTTCAGACGGGCCTCGAATGCAGAGCTTCACGCCATCCTCCCGGCACATCCCTGGGTTCCCAGCCAGGAAGGGGGCGCGTGGGATCGCTGGTCACGTGACGGAGCTCAGTCTCCAGCCCCTCTCCTCTCTGGAGATCAGAAGCTCCACCTGGTATTACTTGGCTCAAAGTCCCAACCCTCTAGCCCATGTTGGTCTCTCTGGCAGGAAGGGCTCACATCCTGAAGCTTTGTATGGGTCGTTGGTCACCTCCATAGCATAAACTCAGGTGTGGTCTAATGGTTTGGAGGCCCTCTCCCAGGAACCAGCGACAGAGACCTGCCAAATTCTTCCTGTTACGTGACACTGGCTTCCCAGTGGCACAGCCAGGGACCAGAGGGGCCACGTGAAAGCCACAGCCCCGTGGGGAAACCAGAGGACATGGACGCGTCTGGCAGTGCTCCCCTGACGGGCACCCATGGGTACCCAGAGCTCAAAAATTGGTTGGGAGAAAACCCAGACATCTAAGATTCTTCGGGGGAGATGGTATTGGCTGTAAATTCTGACGGAGATGCGGGCATTCTCAATGCAACAACAAAACCAAGTAGGGTCTGCTCAGAGGTGCAGGTGACCAGAAAGTCTCACATTTATTCTTTATGACTCCATATGTTTGGAGTAAACTCTTTTAACTTATTTATTTTTTTAAACTTTTTTTTTTTAAGATTTTATTTATTTATTTGACAGAGACACAGCGAGAGAGGAAACACAAGCAGGGGGAGTGGGAGAGGGAGAAGCAGTCTTCCCGTGGAGCAGGGAGCCCGATGTGGGGTTCGATCCCAGGACCCCGGGATCATGACCTGAGACGAAGGCAGACGCTTAATGACTGAGCCACCCAGGCGCCCCATCTTTTAACTTATTTAAATATTTATAGACTGAGATAAATCTATGTTCTTAATCTGTTTGAATATCTTTGTCACAGCTGACATCGTGTAGTTGGTGACAAGCTGTGTGTGTAACTAAGCAGATCATTTCGTGGGACAGTTTGCTTCTGTTCTGAGGAGCAGGGTGTTGCGGTGCAGGGAGACCCACTCCTGGTTCCTGTCTTCCCCCATGAACTCGGGCGAGGTCTTTCACTTCACAGTGCCTCTACTTCCCCATAAAATGGAACTGATAGCACTTTCTCCTACTACCCATAATTTTACAGCTGAATGATGGGTACGCAGAGGTTCATTATACTTTTCTCTCTGTTTTTGTGCATGTGAAAATTTCCAAACTAAAAAGTAAAAATGATAATAATAATGATAATGCCCTCCCGTGTCTACTACACAGGAATGCCAGAACGTTCAGCACTGTCTTCAGAGTACCTTTGCCTCTTGGAGAAGGACGCCACGTAAATACATTCTGAGTTATTGCTCTGTGGCCCTCAAATGATTGTATCACCCCTGGAGGTATCGTTGACAAGGAGACAGAAAATAGATTAGGACCCAGGGGAAGAACGGCTATGACACACGAAAATAAAACTTCCAAAGCATCGGATGCTACGTGGAGGATTTCATCTTAGTATGACAAACTGGAAGCCCATCTGGGTAAATCAGTGGTGTAGGAAATAAATTTGCAATATATCAAAAATATGTTGCCCAGTAGCTGACAATTTATTTCTGGAGCTCCATATGTGTCACATTTCCAGGCTCATAAATGATAAATAATAAATTTTTATTTATAAATCACTGGCTCCCAGAGGCAGATGAGCAGACTGAATGAAAAGACGCTGCCGGAGAAGCTGGTTAAGTTCCACCAGCGGACTCAGGTCGACATGTGGTGGTTTTACCCAGTTTGGGGAATTGCTGAGCCAATGAGAAAAGCCGATACCTTTAGGAAACTGTGCCTGTCATTAACTCGAAGTCGAGGTTGTGAAAAGTGCATCTGAGGTGCACGCAATGGCAGAGCCCTGAGATGCGGGTTGTTAAGGTTTGCACGTTAGTAAAGATTGACAAACGCGTCCCTACTTGGAAGATGCGCATTTGAGAAGACATCGCAGCTGGCTTCCTACAGACCCCAGAGCCTTCTGTAGTAGTATAAAGAGAATTATCTGGTGTGAAACATCCTGAAAGGAAAAGAATGCCTCCTCATGATGTCAGGGGCACCCCTCAAAGACCTGGGTGATTGCTGGTCCGCACAGACCGTGGCGCTGGCTGAGGAGGGGAGCGCACGCGGGTGTTCAGCTGGGCTTCAGCAGCCAGGATCCAGAACTGCTTGGAGAAATGACAGTCGTGAAGAAAGGCAATATGGATGTTGCTGAAAGTGGGGAGGAAAATGTATGCAAAATTATTCCGTAGCTCCAGGCCTCCCAAATTTTTTTTCTTTTTTAAACACAGAACAAGTCTGAGTATACAGCAGTCTTGGTAATTCAGGATTGCTGATCGTTTTAAGGAGACGGGGAGTGGAAGCTTATCTTTGTTAGCATACCCTTCGGCCTTGAGAGAGTAAGATGGTGGAAATAAGGTTTACAGGGGATCTTTAAGTCCGTAAGAAGTAACTTTATTTTTTTTTTTTAGTAATCTCTACCCCCAACATGGGGCTCAAACCCATGACCTGAGATCAAGAATGGCACGCTCTTCCGACCGAGGCTGCCAGGCCCCACGGTAAGGAATAACTTTTAAAAAGACTTTGCAAACTTCTACATATAATTAGCAAAAGCTATGTTAATTATAAATGATTCCATCCTGGTGTTAAACAAACCTTCTAAAGATCCTTATTAGGCAAGAGCATGTGTCCCTTGTTCATACTGAACAAAAGTAGGAAAGGGGACACCCAGGTAAGCATGAAGAGCACTAGCCGGGATGAGGACCTGGACTCCGTCTTTACTGTGCCTTGAACTTGTCTAGACGGGTTTCTCCCCATAAAAGGACCCAGAGAGTTTCCCTCCAGCTCTAGAACTCTGTGAGCACATTCTGTTTTCCAGAAACAGAATCTCTGCATGGAATCTGGCTACTATTTGCACCTAACAAAAGTACGTGTGTTTGAGATATGTAATAATGTGGAGGCAAGGGAAGAAGAGGGCCATCTAGCCCGATGAGCAGCAAGCCAGACAGACACACAGCCACCATGGAAGGCGTGCTGTCAGACTCAGTCCACAGGTCTGGCCCAGGCTTTGTTCTTTCCTTTTTTTCTCACTGAAAATTTGTTACAGAAACAGCAGCTCTGTCCTCTGATGTCTCAAGAGACGGTAAACGTTCAGTTTAGCAAGATTAGGAAAACAGCCAAGAAGGAGGGGCAAGAAGAAAAAGGAAAATTTTGGGTGTGATGTGCCTCGTTGTGCTAACTTTGGGCTGTCCCAAGTGCAGGAGGGCAGTGCGTCAGCTCCATCTCCCTCACCCCCTGGGCATCCATCCGCAGCCTCCGCAGATGAAAACAGCTGATCTGGATCCCTGCAAGGGCCAGAGCGGTCAGCTGGTGGGCAGGACAGCAGGAGGGGGGCCTGCAGTGAGGCCACCACCTCTGTGTCCCCCGCTCCTCCTCCAGGCAGCAGTGCCTGAGCTCTGGGGGCCTGCACGAGCAGGAGGGCAACTTCACACCGCCCATTGTGGGCAGACAGGAAGCAGGAGGCAGGATTTGAAGGCACATTTTCTGAGGCTGACCCTCAGTTGCATAATCCCTCCCGGAAGAAGCATGGGTGGGTGAGTGGCTAACCTGGACACAGGCCTTCCAGGACCGTCCCACAGCAGCCTTGGCGGTTCACGGTGCCTGCCTGCTCTCCTGGTGGCCTCAATGTGCCATCATAAAGGCCTAGATAGAAATGAAAAAGGGTACTGTATCAGTTAGGGCTCTCCAGAGAAATAGAACCAATAGATGGAGATGATAGATAGATCGATCGATCGATCGATAGATAGATAGATAGAGATAGAGATAGAGATAGAGATAGATGGGTTCTAAGGAATCAGCTCATGCCACTCCAAGTGCTGACAAGTCTGAGACTTGCAGGGCAGGCCAGCAGGCTAGAAACTCTGGTAAGAGATGATGTTGCAGCTCGGGGGACCTGGGTGCTACAGTCGCTTGAGCATCCAACTCTTTTTTTTTTTTTTTTTTTTAAGATTTTATTTATCTACTTGAGAGAGAGAGAGAGAACAAGCAGGGGGAGGAAGAGGGAGAAGCAGACTTCCCACTGAGCAGGGATCCCAATGCAGGGCTCGATCCCAGGACCCCGGGATCATGACCAAAGCCAAAGGCAGATGTCCAACCGACTGAACCACACAGGCGCCCCGAGCATCCAACTCTTGATTTCGGCTCAGGTCATGATCTCAGCGTTGTGAGATCAAGCTCCACATGGGGCTCCATGCTCAGCCCGGAGTCTGCTTGAGATTCTCTCCCTCTGCCTCTGCCCCTCCTTGCCCACCCTCTCTCAAATAAATAAATAAAATCTTAAAAAAGAGAAAGAAAGAGAGATGATGTTGCAGCTTGAGTCCAAGGCCAAAGGCTGTCTGCTGGTAGAATTCCTTCCTCCGGGGGGACCTGTCTTTGCTCTCAAGACCTTTGACTGATGGGATGAGACCCACCCACATTATGCAGGGTAATCTGCTCTAAATTTTTTTTTTTTTTAAGATTTTATTTATCTGACAGAGACACAGTGAAAGAGGGAACACAAGCAGGGGGAGTGGGAGAGGGAGAAGCAGGTTCCCACGGAGCAGGGAGCCCGATGTAGGGCTCGATCCCAGGACCCTGGGATCCTGACCTGAGCCGAAGGCAGACGCTTAACAACTGAGCCACCCAGGCACCCGTGATCTAAATGTTAATGACATCTAAAAGAAACCTTCACAGCCACATCTAAACTGGTGTTTGACCAAACATCTGGACCGCATGGCCCAGCCAAGTTGACATGTGAAACTAACCATCACAGGTTCCAAAGCTGAGGAAGTACCACCCCACCCCAGGGCAGCTAAGCCCGTGCCCAGAGCCAGCTGCACACCCTTGTGTCATTTCACAGTTCCTGCCTGTTGAGCTTCCTTCCACCCATCTACACACGTCAGCAGCCCCCCTTCAAGTGGGCCGTGTGCACGTCTGGCTGTGTGTCCAGGACCCCAGCCTGCTTCTGTTGTGTAGCATGGTCTGCCCTGCCGTTGGTTATTACGTTTTGACTGATCATTGGCCTAGTCAAGAAATCCTCTCTTTCTCGCTCTCTGTCTCTTTTTAAACATACAACAGAATATTATTCAGCCTTAAAAGGGAAGGAAATTCTGACCCATGCCATAATGTGGGTGAACCCTACAGACACCATGCCAAGTGCAATAAGCCAGTCACGACAGGGTGAAGGCTGCATGATTCCACTTGTATGAGGTGCCTGGAGGAGTCGCAGAGACAGAAAGGAGGACCGGGAGTACCAGGGGCGGGGAGCACAGAGCCTCCACGCCGCCGGATGGAAGCGCTCTGGGGATGGAAGAGGCAGTCATGTCGGCACCACAAGGAGCACAGTGCACTCAAGGTCACTGCCCGCTTACAAAGAGTCAAAACAGCAAACTTCATGTTACGTGTAGTTCATCATGAGTGTGGGAAGTAGATTCCAAAAACTTGGGGATTTTTAGTTATCTCTCTATGACTGATGGGTAGTTTAGTTCCACTGAAGGGTGAGAACATGCCCTGGATGACTTAAAATCCTTTCGAATTCCTTGAAATCGGAGCACTCTCACTGGCTCGCTCCATCCTAATGTTTGTGATCGTGTTTCGACTGTTTATTGACTTCATCAAGAAATGATCTCTTTGAAGAGCCGGCTTCTATCAGATTACAGAATCGAGTCATTTGGAGAATTGCTGGAGCATACACGACATGACAGTATTGGAACAGTCCCTGGCGTGGGCTGCGTGTGACCCTGGAGGAGTGCCTAAAAACTCAACACCCATTAGAATGAAAAGCAGGCGAGATTGAGCGTGGCGTGTGACACCCAGCACGGGAGCTTGCACCTTGCAGGCTCCCAATTACAGATTCATAAGCAAGTGAGCCATGTCAGTGAGGAAAAGAAAACCCTGAAAAGAGATCCTGCTGAAAAAAAAAAATTAGAAATCAATTCAAACAATGTCACTCTTCTGGGTGACATTAAAGTCCCACCAGCTGGGGCGCCTGGGTGGCTCAGTCGGTGAAGTGTCAGATTTCGGCTCAGGTCACGACCCTGGGGTCCTGGGATTGAGGCCTGTGTGGAGCCCCACGATCAGCGGGGAGTCTGCTTCTCCTTCTGCCCCTCCCCCAGCTTGTGCTCTCTCTTTCTCTCAAATAAGTAAAATCTTAAAAAAAAAAAGTCCCACCCGCTGCTCTGAAAGTGTGGTCCGTGGCCGCGAGGACTCCCCAGGACCCATTCAGGGGGTCTGTGTGCTCAGAACTATGATTATAGCGACACCAAGACGCTACCTGCCTCTTTCCCAGGGACAGGCGCCATGCTGGCTCAGGAGCAGCAGCGGGTGAAATCACGGGCTCCTCGGCGCTTCCAGGCAGTGGCATCACCTGTCACTGCTCGCCACGTGCTCTGCATCCGCTCCCACTTGCCATCAGAACAGGACGGTTTCTCCAAGGATGTCCTGATGAAACAGAATTTATTCATTAACTGTAGTAAGGCTTGACCACTGAATATGCAACTTCTAAGATTCTGTGTGAGGAAATGGACCATGCCCACCAGCTTCCTCTGCTGCTAGAGCCAAGTACGGGGACTGCGTGCAGGAAAGCTTGTCGGAGGGTCTGTGCTGCATTGGCTGCTGTTTCTTCATGGAACACCACGCTTATTGGAAGGAACAAGTGACAGACAAACTTTTGCCCATTAGGCTTAGGGATTCGGCAGACATTTTCTTAAAAATGAACAAAGTGAGTTTGCCAGTTCAAGGCAACCAATGGACAGTATTTGCTCCCAAATGATAACATTCAAGCTTTCGAGTAAAAATTAAAATTCTGAAAAACTTGTATCTGTCGCCGTGAACTTGATCACATCCCAGTACTTGAAGATGTTTCTGATGAGGCAGGTGGTGATTTTTTATACCGTCTAGTGAAATATATCAACACTTGCAGTGTCTGTACAACTCAGTGGATTAATATTTTTTAAATGATGGAGTGGCCGTGTGACGGAGTGGGTAATAGGTCCATCTGAAGTGCCAGAGAGACCAGTGGATTTTAGGCTAACAGCATGAAGCTCCACGTCACCCATGTCACCACGCACCTTTCAGAAACGTCTATGTGTAGGTTTTGGTGGAGTATCTATATAAATACTCCTCCACCTTCCAACTCCATGTCTTCACACGTGTCAACTAAAACAATATATCACGACAGACTGAACGCAGAAGCAGATACGAACATCCAGCCGGCTTCTCTTAAGCTACACATTAAAGAGACTTGCAAAAGTCTGAAACAATTTTACTCTTCTTACTAATTATTTTTCAGAAGTATTTTTCGTAAAATACACTATCGTAGTAGAGAATAATATGGAATAGATTTCTTAATGAAATCTTTTTTTTAAAACTAATACTTCTTTTTTTAAAGATTTTATTTATTTATTTGACAGAGAGAGACACAGCGAGAGAGAGGAGTCACAAGCAGGGGGAGTGAGAGAGGGAGAAGGAGGCTTCCCGCTGAGCAGGGAGCCCGAAGCGGGGCTTGATCCCAGGACCCTGGGATCATGACCTTAGCCGAAGGCAGACGCTTAACAACTGAGCCACCCAGGCGCCCCTCTTAATGAAATCTTAAATAAACAAATAAAAATATTTTAAAAGTGATTTCTTGGTTTTACTCTCTAATGCTGTATGCGTTCTTGAGCCTAAAGCCTGTGGGAAGAGCGACGGGGCAGTCTCTGGCTGGGAGAGCTCAGGGCGGGGTGAAGGGCCTTGTTCCAACTGCTCTGGGGAGTGTAAGTCTAAATATCCCAATTCTTCATATTTAGGAAATGCCTATCTTATAAATTTAACCTCTGGAGTATTTCAGAAGGTGGGAGGGGAAAGAGAGAGCGCTAAAGAAGCTCAGAACCAAGTGGTCTTTAAAAAATCATTGATATCGGGGCACCTGGGTGGCTCAGTCATTAAGTGTCTGCCTTCGGCTCAGGTCATGATCCCAGGGTCCTGGGTTCGAGCCCCGCATCAGGCTCCCCGCTCGGCAGGAAGCCTGCTTCTCCCTCTCCCACTCCCCCTGCTTGTGTTCCCTCTCTTGCTGTGTCTCTCTCTGTCAAATAAATAAATAAAATCTTAAAAAAAAAATCATTGATATCATTGCACACCCACTAGAATGGCTAGTATAAAAACAAAACCAGAAAATGACCAGTGTTGATAAGGATTTGGAGAAATTGGAGCCCTTGTACACTGCTGATGGGAATGTAAAATGGTGTATCCACAGTGAAAAACAGGATGGCAGTTCCTTAAAAAATTAAAAATAGAACTACCATATGATCCAGCAATACCACTTCTGGGTATACACCCAAAAGAATTGAAATCAGGGACTCACGAATTGGAACAGATATTTGTATATCCATGCTCTTAAAAACAATTTTTTGTAGAGATTTTATTTATTTATTTGATACAAAGAGAGTGCACAAGCAGGGGGGAGTGGCAGAGGGAGAGGGAGAAACAGGCTCCCCGCTGAGCAGGGAGCCTGACGTGGGACTCGATCCCAGGACCCTGAGATCATGACCTGAGCCGAAGGCAGATGCTTAACCAAAGGAGCCACCCAGGCACCCCTTAGAAACAAATTTAAAAAAAATTCTTCTGTACACCCATGTTCATAGAAGCATTATTCACAATAGTCAAGGGGTGAAAATAACCCAAGTTTCCATTGATAGATGAATGGATAAGCAAAATATAGTATATACAGACAACGAAATATTATTCAGCCTTAGAACGGAAGGAAATCTACACTGAAAACTATGTCATTGATGAAAGAAATTGTAGAAGACAGAAAGATACGGAAAGACATTCTGTGCTTGTGTAAAATATCCATATCACCCAAATAAACATGTAAGATTCATGCCTTATCAGATGCAAGCCCCATCTAAATCCCAATAACATTGTTCACAGAAGAGAACAATCTTAAATTTTGTATGGAACCACAGAAGATCTTGAATAGCCAAAGCAATCTCGAGAAAGAATAAATCCAGGGGCGCCTGGGTGGCTCAGCTGGTTAAGCAACTGCCTTTGGCTCAGGTCATGATCCTGGGGTCCTGGGATCAAGCCCACGTCTGGCTCCCTACTCAGTGGAGAGCCTGCTTCTCCCTCTCCCTCTGCTACTTGTGCTCTCTATCTCTCTGTCAAATAAATAAAATCTTTAAAAAAAAAAAAGAGAGAGAAAGAATAAATTCAAAGGTAACACCCTCCTTGATTTCAAACTATATTACAATGTTATACTAATCAAAACGGTATGTCATTAAGTGTCTGCCTTTGGCTCAGGTCATGATCCCAGGGTCCTGGTTTTGAGCCCCACATAGGGCTCCCTGCTCCGCAGGAAGCCTGCTTCTCCCTCTCCCACTCCCCCTGCTAGTGTTCCCTCTCTCGCTGTGTCTCTCTCTGCCAAATAAATAAATAAAATCTTTAAAAAAACCACGGTATGGTAGTGGCATAACAATAGACACACAGATCAGTGAAGCAGAATAGAGAGCCCAGAAATAAGGCCATGCATATAAGATTAATTAATTTATGACAAAGGAGGCAAGAATATACAATTGGGAAAGCTGGACAGTGAAAGAGAAAGAAAGAAAAGAAAGAAAGAAAGAGAGAATGAAAGAAAGAAGGAAAGGAAGAAAAGAAAAAGAAAGAGAAGGAGAAGGAGAAAGAAAGAAAGAAAGAAAGAAAGAAAGAAAGAAAGAAAGAAAGAAAGAAAGAAAGAAAAGAAAGAAAGAAAGAAAGAAAGAAAGAAAAGAAAGAAAGGCGGGGAGAGGGAGGGAGGGAGAAATTAGACCACTATCTTACACCATACACAAAAATTCACTAAACATGGATTAAAGACTTGAATGCAAGCCCTGAAACCATGAAACTCCTGGAAGAAAACATATGTGGTAAGCTATCTGACATCAGTCTTGTCAATGAATATTTGGATCAGACACCAAAAGCAAAGGCAACAAAAGCAAAGATAAACTATTGAGACTACATCAGATTAAAAAGCTTCTGCACAGGAAATGAGACCATCAACAAAATGAAAAGAAAACCTATGGAAGGGGAGAGAATATTTGCAAATCATGTATCTGATAAGGGGTTAATACTGAAAATATGTAAAGAACTCATAAAATGCAGTAACAAAAAAACAAACGATCTAATTAAAAAACGGACAGATGGGGCACCTGGGTGGCTCAGTCAGTTGAGTGTCCGACTCTTGGTCTCAGCTCAGGTTTTGATCTCAGGGTGGTGAGTTCAAGCTCCACAGTGGGCTTCGTGCTGGGTGTGGAGCCTACTTAAAAAAAAAAAAGACAGATGATCTGAATAGACATTTTCCCAAAGAAGACATCCAGATGGCCAACAGACACATGAAAAGGTCACTGATGCTAATGACTTTTGCCTATGGACATGAAAACCATGGTGTGGTGGGGGCAACCCTCACCCCACGCCCCCCTGCCAAGCCAGTTTTGCACAATTTGTGAGTCCACTCCAGTATTCCTGACCCATAAGTGTGTCTGTCCTTCACCCTTTCCTCTGAACTGGTTGTTCCATCTCACAGTTCCCTCATTCAATCAATGAGTTCAGTAAGACATGTGGCACACGTTGGTTGTGTATCGTGTGAGACTCAGGATTCCTTCTTTGGTCAACATTATTTTTTAACATTGGTCTGCCCCAGGGCGCCTGGGTGGCTCAGTTGTTTAAGCGACTGCCTTGGGCTCAGGTCATGATCCTGGAGTTCCGGATCGAGTTCCGCATTGGGCTCCCTGCTCAGCGAGGAGTCTGCTTCTCCCTCTGACTCTCCCCCTCTCATGCTCTCTATCACTATCTCTCTCAATAAATAAATAAAAATCTTTTAAAAAGAAAAAAGAAAAAAAATTGGTCTGCCCCACGTTTGGCTGTGGCTGCCATTTTGCTGCTGCATTTTCCTGGGACCCTTGATGGGGAAGCGTGGGTGATGAGGACAGTGTCTCCTAGTCTTTTAGGACTTCATCGTTGGAATTGTTCTCTTGAGAGAACCAAGGCTTAGAATGAAAGTGTATGGGATCCCCCTCATCCTGGCCTGAGCTCTTCACAAGCTCTTCCCAGCTCGTGATCCTGGGGTCCTGGGGCTCTCCTGAACTTTCCATGTGCAGCCCCATTTTCTCCTCTGCATAATCCTCTTAGAGAGGTACTGTTGTCCCCATTGAAGACAGAGAGAACTGAATCTCAGGGAATGAAACCGCATCCTTGGAATTTACGTGGTTGGCAAAGCCAGACTTTACACCAGATTATACCACAACTGTCTCTCTCTCTCTTTTTTAAGATTTTATTTATTTATTTATTTATTTGAGAAAGAGAGAGAGCCGGGGGAGGGGCAGAGGGAGAGAGAGACTCTCAAACAGAATCCTCACTTATCACAGAGCCTGACGCTGGGCTCCTTCTCATGATGCTTAGATCATGACCTGAGCCAAAACCAAGAGTTAGACGCTTAACCCACTGAGCCGCCAGGTGCCCCCACAACTGTCTCTTTAACACAGAAAAAGAAAATGCCACATGTGAGCAGCCTCTAAGATGGTCCCCAGGGATCCTCTCCTCCTGGCATTCATGTCTTTGTGTGATCTCCTCCCCTGAGTGTGAGCAGGACCTGTGACTTGCTTCTAACCAACAGAGTACAGCAAAGGTGATGAGATGTCACTTCTGGGATTATTCTATACAAGAATGTAATTTCTGTCTTCCTAGCAGACTCTATTCCTTGCTGGCTTTAATGAAACAAGCTGCCAGATCATGAATTCCTCATAACGAGGTCCATGTGGCAAGAAAGTGAAGGTGACCTCCAGCCAAAAGCCGGCAGGGAGCTGAGACCCTCAGTCCATCTGCCCACAAGGAAATGAACCCTGACAACAACCATATGAGCTTGGAAATGGATCCATCCCCAGCAGAGCCTTCCGATGAGCCCCCAGTCCTGGCTGGCACCCGTGAGACCCTGAAGCAGAGGACCCAGTCAAGCCATGCCTGGATTCCCGACGAGCAGAAATTGTGGTAATAAACGTGTGTTAAATGTGTGTTGTTTGTTTGAGATAATTTGTTACAAAGCAATAGATTACCAATACATTGGGTCTTAGAAACATTCATTCATGCATTCAACAAATAGCTTGCCAGGCACTAGTCCAGGGGCTCAGCATACATCAGTGAACAAAATAGAGTAAAATTCTTGCTCTTCTGAAGTGTGAATTCTAGTGTTTACATGTGTATGTGTGGGAGGGGAGAGCGCGTGTGAAACAGTTGACATAATAAGTTACATAGTTATACAGTTACATAGTATGTTCCATGTAGCTACACAAGTATGCTGGAGAAGAAAGAGGGGTGAGGTGATAGGGAGCCAGCCCGGAGTCTGCAATTTTAAACTTCTTTTGAGAAAGGATTTTGAGAACTACTTCAGGGAGGAGGCCAAGCAGATATCCCTGGGAGGAGTGCTTCAGGAAGAGGGTATACAGTGCAAATACCCTGAGGCTCAATGTGCCTGGAGGGAGGGAGGAGCAGCAAGGAGGATGGGGGAGGTGGGGAGGAGGGGAGAGGAGCTGACGTCAGAGGTGGGGGGTCCTGTAGATCCCCTTCAGCTACTGTGAGGACTTTTCTTTCACTCTGAATATGATGGAGCTCTCTGAGGGACTGAGCTGAGCAGTGATGTGGTCTGACATATATATATATATTTTTTTGAAAGACTTTTTACTTATTTGAGAGAGAGCGTGCGCATGAGCAGGGGGGAGGGACAGAGGGAGAGGGAGAAGCAGACCGCCCACTGAGCAGGGAGCCTGATACGGGACTTGATCCCAGGATCCCCGGATCATGATCTGAGCCGAAGGCAGACGCTTAGCCACTTAACTGACTGAGCCACCCAGGCGCCCTCCGACTTAAATTTTTAAAAAGCTCATCCCCATCATTACATCCCATCACTGCTGGTGCCTTCCGGCCCCCCACCCACCCATGCAAACTGGGGCAGTTTACACATCGGCCGCACTGGCTGCCTTAATAAGCCAAGGGACTTGCCCTTATTTTTAAGTGGTTTTCTTGATCATTTTTCTTACTGATGCCTCCAGATCCTAGCCATCTGCTAAGGACAGCTGGAGCCCGACCCCCTCCCCCCCCGCCCCAGCCTCCAGCCTTGACATCAAATCCTCCCCCTGCGCAATGCAGTAAGCACCTCTGTGCCCTGTTAGTGTTGGTGCTTGCTTTGCACACTAGATCATAAGCTTTGCCAGGCAGGTCCAAGTCTTACCTTTCTTTTACCTCTCCCCACTGAGCCTGAGATACCGCTCTATCAGGCTGGCTGGCACCTCGGCAGAGTTCTTTCCACCTCTCCCTGTGCCTTCTCTCAAAGCACTTCTCCACCTCCATGACCACCCCCCACCTCCTGCAGCCTCCTCCTCACTGCCTCCTGGCATGATGGCGCCTGCTGTCACCTGCATACTTCTATGAGCAATTATAGGTGGCTTTTTATTTCACGCACCTAAACATGGTCCTTGGGAAAAGAGTAACAAACTTTAGGGGAAAAAAATGGAAGAAGAATAATCAGAATGGCTGGTTACCTACAAATGTTCTTTTTGTTTGGGAACCACCTGGTTCTCAACATTAGGGTGGAAGCCAGGATTGGAGGCAAAGGGAAGCAAGGAAACACGGCCCCCCCAAGGCCCCACAACTAATTTCGAATTATTTTTCTTAAGCAGTCTCCCCCCACCCCCCAAATGTGTGAGCCCCAGGGCCACAAAAACTGGAGGGGACTACTGATGGTGCTCCCAGCCCTTTGTCTTCCCTCCCCTCCCCTCCCTGGAGATAGCCCCGGGGGAAAGGGAGAAAGGAAGAAAGGAAAGTGAAAGGAAGAAAGCTTAGCTGATCAAGGGGGGTACAGGTGAGAAGACCAGAGCACACAGGCCAGAGGGCAGGTGGGCAGGGCCTGGGTCTCATGGGCCGTGTGACTTGTATGGGCTCTCGTGTGACCCCACACACCCAGGTCCTCTCTCCAGGTTCCAGAACCCCTCCGGAGCGCACTCTTGAGGGACAGGCAGGTGGGGAAGCATGGCCATTGAGATCCCGAGGCAGGCGAGGCACCCCGCCCCTGCCCTGGCCCCTGGTACCCACCAGGTCCCTCTCAGCCTTGATGGATCATCATCTTCAACAACCTTGGGAAGCCTGGCTCTCCAAGTTCTACCAGCCCCACGTTACCTGGAGGCTCTGACAACAAACTGATTTATAGACATTATGCAACCTTATATTTTGTCTTCTCTGTGTGTTCTTCAGAAAGCGAACTTGGCATCTTAGATCTCATTCAAGTATTTGTGGAAACATTGGGCAGGTGTTTTGAAAATGTCTATGAGCTGAATTTAATTTTTTCCCACGTAGACAAGGTTCATAATATTCTTGCTGAAATAGTGATGAGGGGAATGCTATTGGAGACCAACATGAATGAGCTCGTTACACAAATTGATGCACACAATAAACTGGAGAAAGCTGAGGCTGCCTAGAGGGAGCTCCAGCCTATTCTGTATCAGCCGGGAAGAACGGGAACCTTCCTCAGGTCCCAAGAAATATTAACATTGGTGACATCAATATCATCAATATAAAAGTGCCAAATCTGCCCACTTGTAAGTAAAAAATTAAAAAGGCCACACTCCCAGGTGAAATCCAGGGGCAAAATTCATCTAAGTTTACCATGTAGTTGTTCACCAAAAATAGAGGTGAAGAGTCTTCACTTTTGCTCTTGGATTTGAGCCAAGATACTGTATGGAGGTTGTATAAAATCAGTATGGAAGTTTAATGTCTCTTTTCTTGCTCAATGATTCTGAAGAAATTGGGTAGTTCCAGTGTGATATTTCTCTTTCTTTTCTGAACTGCGTCCCTATGCCCACCTCAGGCACGCCTCTATGTATTGGCTACTACTGTATTTCAAAAAGTGTGTGACATATCTCTAAATTATGTACAATCCAGAATGTTGGTGTTTTGTATGGATCACAAGGGCAGCATCCCGTAACTCCTTCTGTTGTGTGTCAGAATTGTTATTTAAAGAACTGAGTACTGGGCGCCTGGGTGGCTCAGTTGGTTAAGCGACTGCCTTTGGCTCAGGTCATGATCCTGGAGTCCCTGGATCGAGTCCTGCATCGGGCTCCCTGCTCAGCCGGGGGTCTGCTTCTCCCTCTGACCCTTCCCCTCTCATGCTCTCTGTCTCTCATTCTCTCTCTCGCAAAAAAAAAAAAAAAAAAAATCTTAAAGAACTGAGTACCTATTGCATGAAAACATTACACTTTCTCTCTTAGTTTAAATAAACTCCAAGGTAACTAGAAACAAAAACAAAACAACAAAAACGCAAAAACATGGGGCTCCTGGGTGGCTCAGTCGTTAAGCGCTGCCTTCGCCTCAGGTCATGATCCAAGGGTCCTGGGGTCGAGCCCCGCATTGGGCTCCCTGCTCGGTGGGAAGCCTGCTTCTCCCTCTGACCCTCCCCCTGCTTGTGTTCCCTCTCTCGCTGTGTCTCTGTCAAATAAATAAATAAAATCTTAAAAAAAAAAAAAAAAAAAAAAACCAGCAAAAACACAGACCAGGACTGGGACTAGGGGGAGTAGAGAGGCCAGGGACAGTTGGATGGCTTGGGGACAAGCACAGCCACACAGTCGGTTTAGAGTTGTACTGTCCCTGTCTTCAAATCTCAGGAACTGTTGAACAAGGGAACGTGCATTTCCATTTTGCACTGGGCCCTGCACATTCCGTAGCTGGTCTGGATCACTGAACTTTCGGGGTCCCCTCCAACTTCCCACCCAGTCAGAGCCTCACTGGCCTCCCCACCCTCCCCCTCCCCCGCGCCGGCCTCGCTGCAAGCTTCTCTCTGTAAAACGCCGTTCCGCAGAGCCACATCGCAGTTCGCCTGTGGTTCACGGTGTTTGTGAAGTCCTGAGCGCTTAGGAGGGACGTCCTCCGAGCTGCTCCAGGCTGGACCTGGCCGAGGCAGCCTGCAGCCGCAGGTTCCCGTCCTGGCCCTGCTCCGAGCTGTGTAGAGACTCGGCACAGCGATCCCACGCGGTGGGAATGTTTCTGCAAAAGAGGAACAGCCAGCAGACAAATCCCCAGCCTCTGTACCGGGAAGGCTCGCCCTTCCCTCGGCGTCTTGGAGGGCAAGGGCACCGCGGGACCTGCGGGCGCACCGCCACAGTCTCTGAAAGCCCACCCGGAACGCAGACAAGTCTCCGTGTCCCCCGAAGGGAGGCCACCTTGCCCGCATATAGGCCTGCGAGGGTCTCCCGGGGGGCAGCTGTGCTGAAGGCAGAGCGCGGGAGCAAGAGGCCAGCCTGCCGCGGTCCCTGGAGCCCTCGCCCCGGGGGCAGCGGGAACACGTGCGCACCCGCCCGGAGAAGGCACACAAAGGGGCGCGCGCAGGGTGCCGGGCGACCGCGCGGACTGGCTCCCAGGGCACCCGGCGGCCAGGGCCCACCTGCCACAGGTCGCGCCCAGGGTGGCCCGCGCCTCCTGACGCGATGGTTCGGCCCGCCCTCCCCGCCGGCCTGCGGCGGATGGTTCCGCCCACCCGAGCCCGCTCCGCAAACCCCTCCCGGCCCGAGAGCGAGCGGAGGGGGCGTGGTGCTCCCCGGCCACGCCTCTAGCTGCATAGTCATGAGGCGGCGCTCTAGGCCGGCGGGGCGGGCCGCTCCTCGCTCCCCGGCGCGCCCTGCTGGGGGCGGGGCCCGGCGCGGGCGCGAGGCGGGGGCGGGGCCGGCCACCGCCCGCCCCCGCCTCGCTCCCCGCCCCCGGCGCGCAGGCCCCGCCCCGCGCCGCCGCGGAGCAGGGGCGGGGCGGGGCCCGAGCCCAGCAGGCCCCGCCCCCTCCCTGAATATTGATGCGGCGCGCGTCGGCGTCGCCCTCCTCCCATTGAGCGAGGCTGTGTCGCGTGGCCCAGCGTCGGCGTGACGGTTGGACGCGGGCGCGGCACTGCGGGTCCCGATTGCTGCAGCCGCTTGTCAGTGTGATGAAGATTGGCACCCAGGTAAGCTGTCACTCAACCGCTCCGCCGCCGCCGCCGCTCCGCCGCCCCGTCCCTATCAATCACGCCGGCCCGCAGGCGCCGCGGCCGCCGCCCCGCCGCCGCTGCCCGG